ACGAAAGTTGCAATAAAAATCCTCTATGCTTAAGTTTTGAAGTCACCACCACAACATTATATGATCCATTTCAATGATGACATGCTTGCCCAGAGGCGAACTTTCGACGTAACTGCCTGTTTAATTCACATCAAGCTTGATACAATTTTGCAAACAGCCTAAATGATTTAGCTTCTAAAAATAAATAGCACCAAGGCAAAAAAGAGATGTAGGAGCTATAAGTCAAAAAGTCTGGTAACAACCGAAAGTTTAATCTTTATTTATAAACTCATTATGCCATAAAAGTTTAATCTGAAAAGTAACTACTAAAGGTATTAATGTAGTGACCAAGGTTCCTGCCACTCTCTTTATCTCTTAATCAGGCTGGATCAGATGCTTTTGGTTTTTAGATAATTTAACATATTTATTAAAGGCATTTCAAGTGAGATTTGTGTTGGAGTTTGTGTTGAGTTGAAGTATCAGTCAAAATAATAAACAATTAGATATTTATTCAAAATCATGCAGCCCTAAATAAAATCCTACTACCTGCTAAATTTACTTAAGGTATTAAAAAAAAAGTACTTTTTTGTAGAAAATTGGGTGGTGACTGATATGTTAAATAACTCAGTACAAAATACATTATTAATATTGGTAAGTCAGTGCATAAAAGCAGCATTTTATTATTCTATTCTATTTCTTCATTTTGTGACTGCAACACCAAGCCCCCCACTCCGGAAAAGATTTCAGATTTCAGGCACACAAATCTTCTGTGCTCCACATTTCAGGCACAAAATTTTTTCTTGCTTTAACCCCTGGATATAAGTTAACCTGCGAGACAGTGGAGCACAAAGGCTCCGGAGAAGAGGCCGAGTTAGTGACATGCAGTAAGGCCAAGTTAGAGAGATGCAGTAACAGGACATGAGTGTTAGCAAAGGAGAGAGAGGGAGACAGAGAAGGTGCCCGGTGTATTATAGTGGGTCTTCCAGCAGACTAGGCCTAAGTCAGCCTAACTAGGGGCTGGTACAAGGCAAGCCTGAGCCAGCCCTAACTATAAGCTTTATCAAAGCGGAAAGTCTTAAGTCTAGTCTTAAATGTGGAGATGGTGTCTGCCTCCCGGACTGCAACAGGAAGATGATTCCACAGGAGAGGAGCCTGATAGCTGAAGGCTCTGGCTCCTGATCTACTTTTGGTAACTTTAGGGACCACGAGTAACCCTGCATTCTGGTGGGATAATATGGCACTATGAGCTCTCTAAGATGTGACGGAGCCTGACCATTTAGAGATTTATAAGTTAGGAGTAGGATTTTAAATTCAATTCTGGATTTTACAGGGAGCCAGTGCAGAGAAGCTAAAACAGGAGAAATGTGTTCTCGCCTCTTAGTTCCTGTTAGTACACATGCCGCTGCATTCTGAATTAGCTGGAGAGTTTTTTAAAGATTATTATTTTGGGCGTTTTGCCTTTAATGGACAGGATAAAGTGTGAAATGGGGGAGAGAGAGAGAGAGAGTGGGGGGGACGACATGCAACAAAGGGTTGCAAGCCGGAGTCAAACTTGCGACCTCTGCAGCGAGGCATCACCTCTATACATGGGGCGCCGGCACTATCCACTACACTACCGACGCCCTGAGCTGGAGAGTTTTTGAAGACTTATTAGAGCTACCTGATAAAGCGTGGACCAATTTTTCTGCATCTTTTCGGGTCAGGATAGGCCTAATTTTCGCAATATTACACAGATGAAAAATGCAGTCCTTGAGGTTTGTTTTAAATGGGAATTAAAAGAAATCTTGGTCAAATATTACTCCGAGGTTTGTTACGGTAGTGCTAGAGGCCAGAGCAATGCCATCTAGAGAAACTATGTCATCAGATAAAGTGTCTCTGAGGTGTTTGGGGCCAAGAACAATAACTTCAGTTTTGTCTGAATTTAACATCAGGAAATTGGAGCTCATCCAGGTTTTTATGTCTTTAAGGCATTTTTGAAGTTTAGTTAATTGATCAGTTTCTTCTGGCTTCATTGATAAATACAATTGTGTATCATCTGCTTAACAATGGAAATTTACAGAGTGATTTCTAATTATGTTACCTGAGGGAAGCCTATATAGAGTGAATAGGATTGGTCCGAGCACAGAAACTCCAAAACAAACTTTAGTACGTAAGGATGATTCATCATGAACATGAACAAACTGAAAACGATCAGATAAATAAGATTTAAACCAGCTGAGTGCAGAACCTTTTAGGCCAATTACAGTTGCAATCAAAATTATTCAGCCCCCATTGCATATTAGGCCTATTGGCAAAATATACAATTTCTCTGCTGTTTGCAATAAACAAATTACACAAGAACTGTTTAAGTAGTTCAATGAAACCAATATTACAAGGGTTTTGATCCAAATTCAACAAAAAATGCTACTTTTAATGATTACTGCAGTCTCAAAATTATTCAACCCCTTCATGACAAGCATCTTCAGTACTTAGTAGAGCACCCTTTTGCTGTTAGGACCTGCTGCAAACGTGATGCATAGCCAGACACCAGCTTCAGACAGCGTTCCTGAGGAATCTTAGCCCATTCCTCATGGGCAATGGCCTCCAGTTCAGTAATATTCTTGGGTGTGCGTTTTGCAACCACATTCTTCAAATCCCACCAGAGATTTTCTATGGGGTTCAAGTCAGGCGACTGTGACGGCCACTCTAGAATCTTCCATTTCTTCTTCTGAAACCAAGCCTTGGTGGACTTTGAGGTATGCTTTGGATCATTATCCTTTTGGAAGGTCCAATGACGCCCAAGCTTCAGCTTCCTCACAGACAGCATGACGCTTTCACCTAAGATTTCCTGATACTTGACTGAATCCATCGTGCCCTCCACAAGCTGCAGGTTTCCAGTGCCAGAGGCAGCAAAGCAGCCCCAGAGCATCACTGAGCCACCGCCATGCTTCACTGTAGGCAGGGTGTTCTTTTCAGCATATGCTTCATTCTTCTTCCTCCAGACATACTGCTGTTCCATAGGCCCGAAAAGTTCCAGTTTTGTTTCATCGCTCCACAGAGCAGAATTCCAAAACTTCTGTGGCTTATTTATATGGTTTTGAGCATATTGGAGCCGACTTTTCTTGTGCTTTTGGGTCAGTAGTGGTGTACGTCTTGGAGTCCGGGCATGGAGCCCTTCGGTGTTTAGTATGCGCCTTATTGTGCAAACTGAAACCTCAGTGCCTGCTGCCACCAAGTCTTGCTGCAGGTGTTTTGCAGTCACTCGAGGGTTTTTGACCACTTGCCTCCTCAGAAATCTGGTGGCAGCCGCTGACAGTTTCGTCTTTCTGCCACGTCCAGGTAGTGTAGCCACTGTTCCTTTAACTTTGAACTTGCGAACTATGCTTCCAACTGTATCTCTAGGAACATTCAAAGCTTTTGCTATCTTTTTGTATCCTTTTCCTTGTTTGTGCAAGGCAATGATTTCTTCTCTGAACTTTTTGGATAATTCTTTTGACTTAGCCATATTTCTAACATGCAATCAAACATCACTCTCAACAAACCCCTAGCCAGTCCAGGTATTTATGTGTTCTGTCTCAAGCACACCTGAACTAATGAAGCCCTTGATTAGTTGCACCAGGTGTGCTTGAGACAGGGGGTTGAATAATTTTGAGACTGCAGTAGTGATTAAAAGTAGCATTTTGCATTGAATTTGGATAAAACCCATGGTAATATTAGTTTTATTAAACTATTTCAACTGTTCTTGTCTACTTTGTTTATTGCAAACAGCTGAAAAATTGTACATTTTGCCAATAAGCCTAATATGCAATGGGGGTTGAATAATTTTGATTGCAACTGTAAATGTTCCAGTCTGTGTAGCAGTAGTCTGAGTGGGCGGAAGTTCGCTGCATAGATCAGCCTCTCACTGGGCGGAACGAGCCACTCGCTGAAGTCCCGCCCTACCACCTCTGGTTGTGTAGCAGTTTTCAACCATTTTCAACACGTCCTTTACTAACTTTTGTGGTGTTTGATCTTGCGGGGATGTAGCCATTTTTCTGCCATGGTTCACGTCCTGTAGCCGATATTTTTGTGGGCGTGTTACACCAAAACCTGTTTCCCCCTGGCAATATTTTTGCAAGCACACCGTTGCTGTGGCACCGCCCAGAACAATTGTGATTGGTTGAAAGAAATACAAGCAGCCGGGGCATTTTTTTCTCCAATCTTAAAGTGAGAGTCGGCCCAGCCAGACTTTTCTTTTCTTGCGAAAGGTCTGGTGAGCGAGACTACTGTAGCAGAACTTGATGGTCAATTGTGTCAAATGCCGCACTAAGACCTAATAAAACGAGTACAGAGACAAGTCCTTTGTCTAAAGCAATTAGAAGATCATTTGTAATTTCAAGTAGTGCTTTCTCAGTGCTGTGATGCACTCTAAATCCTGACTGAAATTCCTCAAATAAATTATCATGGAGAAAGTCACACAGCTGGTCTGCGACTACTTTCTCAAGGATCTTTGAAAGAAAGGGAAGATTGGTCTATAGTGAGCTGGGTTGTCAGGGTTTTGAATTACTCATAAACTTGGCCAGGTTTCTAGTTCAGAAACAGTGTCACTGCTTAACTTGGAAAAAAGTAAAATTCTTGAAAATCTGAAGGATGCTCTTCCTGAGGTTTCTACCGTTTTTTTTTTTCCCCGTTAAAGGGGTTTTTTTTGGGGAGTTTTTCCTTATCCGCTGTGAGGGTCTTAAGGACAGAGGGATGTCGTATGCTGTAAAGCCCTGTGAGGCAAATTGTGATTTGTGATATTGGGCTTTATAAATAAAATTGAATTGAATTGAATTGAAGGATTCCCTTAATGTAAGACGGACTCTGTGGAACATGTTGTAAAGACTCTGGTTTTCACCATTTCAATTAGAATTGTGTATGTTCACAGTCACAGTAAAGGAGATGACTGTTTTAACAGTTTTAACACATTTTTGTAAAAAGCAGTTCTGACCAGAGATGTGGGCACCTTATGTGCTGACCTACGCCCACATGAATGACCTGCTGTATGTCTGTGTGTCCCTCAGTGACTTGTCGGGCTCCAGACTCAGGGACCTCCACCACATCTGCAGCCCCTTCATTAAACGAGCCTGCCTCATCTCTGGCTACGTAAGTGTTTGGGGGGGGGGGGTTAACATTGAAAAGTACTACACTGCATGCTTTAGCTAATTGCATACTTTTACTGTTGGCCATTTTCCAAAGTAAAATATATGCAGATTTTAAGATTGATAAATACTGGTATATGTGAGCTGTACTGCCCTGTTCACTCATGTGATAATTCATTATTGGCTTCCATTTTAGAGTGTGTGTTGTAATTGTAGAGTGGAAATGGCCTGTCAGAAGTCAGTCAGTTTAGCTGTCATTAACAGGGAACTGTTGGTGGATGGTAACTGTGCTCTCGTGTTTCCCTCGCCTTCCTCCAGGTGGTGATCATCATGTCAGTCAGGCTGTGGCTGATGGGAGGATCCATGCCCCTCTTCTCTGAACAGGACAACCCCGCCTCCTTCTCACCCTACCTGCTTACCAGGTTAGTGTCGCAGTGGTTGTAACCCACCCAATAATCCAAACCAGCCAAATATTGATAATGAATGTTAAAGCCCCTACAAGGAACTTTCATTTTGAGTTGATTTTGGCGACCCTGTGGACAAAAGCGGTAGTGTTTTGCCGAAATGAAGCCTACATTTCCCATGAGCTCTAGCGCGTATTGTCGTAAAGACGCTTACCTGGCTTGCGCATGTGTTTGTTTTGGGGATGAATGAAACAACAAGACGGGAAAACTTTGCCCCCGCTCCTATTGGGGAACCCAGCTCACCTCTGCCGCGCCCCAGCTCCACCTCTGCCGCCACTGCTGCCACGGTAAACGTAGCGGTCGGCTGGTAAGGATGAAAGCCTGTTTGGCGAGCACTTCCACGGCTTCTTGGACTGAGTATGGAGTGGTGCCTCGCCTCTTTATTTCTTGGCACTCGCTGGCCCCTGTCGACGCTTGGCTGGTACCTGTCGTCAGCCCGGATGAGATGTTCCAGCTCCGCGGCTCCTGCTCTCCTCATCCCCGCTGGCACGGGGTGAATCTGCGCAACCTGCGGCCTCTGTGTGTGGCTCCCCGGACAGCTAACGCCGTGGACCGGCTCCTGCCAGGACTGGGCTGGTAAATGCTAGATCGCTAGCGAACAAAATGTTTATCCTGAAGGATTTCCTGACTTCCCGAGGATTGGGTTTTCTCTGTGTGACTGAGATGTGGCTGACTGTTGGTGAGTCCAGTGCTTTCACAGAACTTTTACCCGATGATTGCTGCTATTTTAACTCCCCGCGGACGTCGGGTCAAGGAGGAGGAATAGCGACTATTTATAAGAGTCACTAAATGTAAGCAGCTAGGTAAGATGAAGTGTGCCGTCTGAGTGCCATAAATCGCTTCGTCCTGGAAGTGACCTGGTGCGGACCCTGACACAGTTTCCTAAAGGTATGGATATACACTAAAGAAATAGCTTATCTTCACACCAATGATCTCATTTGCTGTTGTAGGTCACGCACAGACATCAGCAAAAACGAGAGACTTTTGCATATCCAGTTTAAAGTTCCTTGTAGCGGCTTCAAGTATTATAAACACAACAATGTGGTAGATTTTCTCAATTTAGCAGTAAAAAATAGTGACGTTTGTCTGCGCCCCCCCCCCTCCCGCTCTGAGATTTGGTTTTGCCCACCTCAGACCTGTGCGTCCCTCCAGTCTCTCCCTGTGTATGGATTGTAACGTCCCTCAATAACCACACGCCGAGACGTTAGCCGGTTTAGCTGGTGATTTATTTCTGGTTGTCACACAGGCTACTGTGGGCCTTAGCCACGCCAAAAACAACAGCCTAACAGAAAAGTTCACTATCCACACGAGTGCTGCCTACCCGCTTGCTGCAGCGTCTCACTCACAAGTCGTATTCGCAGACACTCAGGAAAACCAGCACTTAACTTAACATTTCATCGTTACTGTCATGTGTGTCATTTCATAACACACATAACAGTAACGTGGCCCAGTTTGTTACAGCATGAAGCATCCATGTTGGTATGAAGAGGGTCCTAGGGAAAAAGAAAGCCCAACCAACAATTTTAAGTTGTTGGTTGGGCAAAAGAATGAAACTGTCTTCCCAACAGGAGGTATGCTACTGCTAGGGCTCCAGTGCCACCACTCACGAGTCAAATAATGTTAACTGAACGAAAGTTAGTCCTACTTTCTAGTGTGTTGTGTGTGTCTTACCTGTAATGCAAGCTAGCTAGTTAGCTGAAGTTGTCGCCGGCAACAGGAAAGACATGCATTTTTCAAATTACTGTAACTCGATCATTCACGCTATCGACGTAATTCCAACGGATTCTGAAAGCTGAGAAGCGGACCTTTCCAGTGATATACAGTAGTGGCAGGAGTGCCTATGGGGGAGAGGTCGGAAGTTAGCCGAGTAGGAGAGCGTCAGCGGATCAAAGCGAGTACAGCTTGTGAGTGTCGTAGCGATGTTTATAGTGGTGTTTTTTTTTGTAAATATCATCTTCATCTTGGTGTTGTAAATAATTGTATTAGTGTTGTTTCTGACACTTTTGGAGTAGTTCTGGAGCAGTTTTTGCCATGTTTTCTGCATGTTTTCTGCCGTTTTTTTCTCTATAGTTCGTCTTTGTTTGCTATTGTTCGTCTTTTTCACTATACATATATATATATACAGTACAGGCCAAAAGTTTGGACACACCTTCTCATTCAATGCGTTTTCTTTATTTTCATGACTATTTACATTGTAGATTCTCACTGAAGGCATCAAAACTATGAATGAACACATGTGGAGTTATGTACTTAACAAAAAAAGGTGAAATAACTGAAAACATGTTTTATATTCTAGTTTCTTCAAAATAGCCACCCTTTGCTCTGATTACTGCTTTGCACACTCTTGGCATTCTCTCCATGAGCTTCAAGAGGTAGTCACCTGAAATGGTTT